TCGAACACTGAATGAATCATTTCGACATTCATTTTTCTTTTGTGCAATTTTTGAAAACATTACCTGTACTCCTCAAAGTGAGTGCTTCAAAATTTTTTCTTCTTCAGCTTCTCAAATTAGGTGTACATTTAAAAAAGAGAGAGAGAGAGAATGAAAAAGAATTGCCACAAGGTATAGTGCTACAAGAGAAGATCCTATCCGTAAGGTAACATGTTTGAAGCGAGGTCATCTATGTAAAAGAAATCTCAGCTCCGGAGTGGAGGTGTGCAAATTCTTTGGAGTTTCCCTATCAACAGAAACACAACACTGTCCGTGGAAAAGAGAGGAAACCAACCCAATACAATAGCATATGCATGTGCTTTATAAAAAAGTATATTTTCTGTATAGTTATTACTTGATGTGTTCCTAAATTCTCTATTTCAGAAATTCTGGGTTAAAAACACAAAGGTAGAAGCAAAGGCCTCCACTCCACTTGAAAAAATAAAAAGCATAATCTCCTTTCCTTTCATATCACCACTGAAGGTGCTGGATTGGGCCATGAGACTGCCGGCCCCTCTTCTACCTGAAATCATCACGGGTGACTAGGAAATAGAAGTGCAAAGGGTTCTGGGAGAGAACAGACCAGTTTGTTGAGCTTTGTGCGGTTCATGCAACAGTAGCCATGACAACCAACACAGCTCACAAAGCCTGGCCTCCTGTCCGAGAACTCTGCTGCCTCTCCCACATCTGAAATAGCATGGCATTAGTGTCTTCAAAAGCATTTTGAGATTTTTGTTCTCTATGAAAGAAATAGGTTTCCTTAGTAGTCACAGATGTTAAAGGGTATTGTCAATTGTGTCTTTAAAAAACAGACAAAAAAATTCCAAAGCTACAACAACAAAAATAAATTTTGGCAACACATTTCAGTAAAGATCAAACTATGTGCAAAGAGTAAATTGTATGATTACTAGGAGCTACTGTTCATCTTGAACATGCAGCATTATATTGCAATCTATGCAGTATCTAAGGAGTAATCCACAAGATGCAGGAAATCCAAACATTCCTTGAAATTGTACAAGCCTCCACAGCAGTCAAAGTGCTGCTTCTGGACACATCAGTGTACCACACACACGCCAGCCCCGTCCCTGAGTAAGAGGTGAGAAAGGTTCCGCAGAGTTCCTTGTAGGGGGAAAAGGGGGTGCCGCCACTTCCTGGTGGGGGGAAAACCCAACACACTCACCTAACAGAAAACATAGCGGGTCACAATTCAGACTTAGAAATGGGATCCACAGCAAGGAAAAAAAAAAAATCCTCCCATACCAAACTGGGTGAGTTGGGGAAAACAAAACAAAAAAAATTGACTGACATAGAAAATGATCCTGAAAGTCCAAACAAAAATGCGATTTGGATTTCCACTTTAAAAGGTTTGAGGTAAGTGGTATCCATCTTCGTATCTCCCCCCGCCCCCCCCCCCCCGCAATGTGGCCCAAACAAACTGAAATAATTCTTACGTTAAACATTCTAAGGAACAGTCCTTTAATGTATTTATAGATCCCTATAAAGAGAGGTTCTTGATTGTTGGTTTCTTTTTTCTTTTTTTCTTTCGCCCTGACTGATTTCTTGGTGATTGTGTTCCACTGTAAACGCAAAAGGCCTGCTGTTATTAGTTTAGAAATGGAAAATAGGAAAGAAAGAAGAACTAAAGAAGGTTGTCAGTAGATATTGCAAAGTGGACAAAGTACAGAGGCACACGGCTCATCCTTGTGAGCTGCACGGCACCGAAGAATTTCTATGCTTCTCATTGTCATGTTTGCTACACAGGAGCTTGCCAGTGTCTGCCAACATGAGGAAGTTCCCTGTCCTTTGGATGTTTTTCCCATTTGAAGGGAAAGCTGCCACTAAGAAATGGTGACCATTGTTCGAAGGGGCCCCTCCATGGCCACTGGCCACACGCTCAGAGCACGTGGCACACATATTAGGCCACACTTCCCGCCGTGCTCTGAGGCACAGCTCAAAGTCTCCGGGACACGGACCCGAGGAGGGGTCCACCCTCTCTGGAAAACACCTTGGAGAATGGGTGGATCTTGGTGTGCCTTAGAACGGAATCTGCCTGCTCCCTCCCCTACACCACACATTCACTATTCCTCATGGTGACAGAGGGACTCGGCTGGTCCCCTAGCTTTCCTTCATTGGCTCTTTCTGCAACACGGTGACAGACATATGGGGCTCCTGAAAGCTCCCTGCCCCCAGCAATCAGCATCCATGGTGGGGAGCTCACAGAGGGAGGCACTCCCCTTCCTGGTTCCTTCCCTCCAGCCCTTCTCTGGCCAGAATAGGGAAGATGGGCCGGATGGGGAATGAGCTTTAACTAGAGCACACTGGTCTGACCTATTGGCACAGGAAGTATTGCACACAGTAAGAAAAAGCAAGAGAATGAAATGGGACGATGCGAGAAAGAACCAATTATTTAAGAATTCCTATACCTGAAATAGAAGCACAAAAATTATGATGATGTTCCTATTGCTCCGAACCATGTATGTTTTCCCATTTTTAGTGTTGGGTGTCGAGGATCCAGTTAGCACAATACTGGAGGTTAAGCCGAAAGGTGGTGTGTGTGTTTCGGTGTCCGTGTGAGTTTCTGTGAATAGTGGTATTGATGAGGACAAAGTGTATATGGCAGTCCCATATTCCTCTTACCATTAAAGGTTACAAAACAAAGAGAAAAAGAAAACCTAATCATTGCAAGTGCCCTGAGCAGAATATATGGAAGATTAAGCAAGTTCTCTGAGCAGAAACTTAAAAAAAAAAAACAACCAAACAAAAAAACAGAAAACAAAAAACAAAAAAAAACCCAGCTCTAAATAAGCAGTATGACCGTGAGAATGGGCTCACCCAAGTCTCCACTAGCATGTTGAGAGGATAATGAAATCCAGAGAAAGTTCTAGCTAATCTAAACCTATGCAAATGTTTTTGGTACACCCCAGAAAATGGTTTATAAATATTAAGTTCTGGTGAGAGCTAAATGCAATGAGATACTAGAGAGCCAAAATGTGGGCTGACTTTAGAAATTTGTTTTTTCATTTGTGAAATGGAAAAAGTACTGCTTTCCGTGGTAAAAGAAAAATCAGATTAAGTATTTGTTCAGATAAACTGCAGCCATTCCAAGTAAGAATATTTAAAAATGTCTCCCTACTTATAAAACTTTATTATTATTATTTTTAAAAGCACTTTAAGACACACACCCAAACCCACACACAATATTTCAGGTCTCTGGGGATGAAAGGTTTAAACTGTGAAATAATACCCTTTCTGGGTTTGTACCAAACATTAAATCTCAATTTGATTTCAGATGGAAAAAAAAGAAGTCATTCTGAAAATAACATTAAAAACAACAATAATAAAGTAATTTAAAAAAATTTGCTCACATATATAAATGTCTTTATGGAAAACTCTCTCAATGAGTCTGAAGAAAATTCTCAGAGTTGTCTTGTTAACACCTGTTTTTTTTTTTTTTTTTTTTTTTTTTTTGTGACAGATGTGGTAGAAAGACCAAAATGAATTTTGAAAGGAACATAACCTTATAAAATGGCCTACAGTTTAGGCAGGTTAGAAAGTAATTTTGCTACATTTATTTATGCTCGTTCAGTCCCCCAAACCTTTCCCACAATGTTATTGGCTAAAAAACTGCAGGAATATCACACAAATTATAAACTCAAGATGTGCAAATCGCAAGGTTCTTTAAAAGTTCATCTTACAAAGAAAAACACTGGACAAAAATGAGTATTCTTTTTTCCATCCCTTTTCTCTCAGTTTCTCTGCCAGCTCTGCATATATGCCTTTACTTCTTTCTCAAACATCAAAGTGAAAAGTACTTCCTGTCAGGCTGTACTTGGTGGTCATTCATTGTCACATACTAGTTCATAATTCACATTCATCCCTTTAAACCACATTGAAACTTCCAATATCTTGCTCGTGAGAAACTCTGCAGACCTGAAATGTAGTTACAGTGTTGAAAAAAAAAAAAAAAGAAAGCAACTTATTTTTTTGTTTTGTTTTGTTTTTCTTCCCAAAGAGTTTAAAGGGAGATACAGTACTTGTTGAATGATATAGACCAAGATGCTTGGTAATAAAGTGTGAACAGCATTTTAAGTGCTTAGAGATAGTAATATATATGCTCATCTTCAAAATCTAATTCCTCACGTCACACTGGAATCTGAAAAAAGTGGCACCGTGGCACCCGAGTTGTCCATAGTCATGAACTATAAACAGTACTAGAGTTAAAAGACCAGATTTTGCAAACCCAATGCCGAGCGCTGCCGCGGCTCTCTGCAGGGCTGTTTGAGCGAAGTCAATGTGAGAACCTGATTGGTTTTCCTAACACTGCACAGAATCCAGAGTGGGCAGTCCGCTCCCCTGCAGCGCCCCCCGCCCCCACCCCTGCCACCCCACCCCCCACCGCCGCTCGGAGCGCCGAGCTGCCCTGCCTACCGCGACACCCGGGCGACATCACTGCACTTAGTAAAGCAGAAACGAAATCCCACGTGTGGCAGTTGCTCTAAAAAAATATCAGTGCAGTCAGGCCCCATAGGGGGAAATATTATCTCTATAGGATTAAAAGTTGCTTTTATTGTAAAATAAGTTGGGGGGAGGAAAAGGGTCTTTTACATGGTTGGCTTTCCGTCTGCTGTTGGATGCCTCTCTAGCAGGCCCTGCGCCTGGGTTCCTGATGTCTGCACGTGAGAACCTCACCAGGCCCGTGCGGAGGGCGAGAGAGAGGGAGAGACAGAGGGAGGCGGGGGGAGGAGACACCCCCACCCCTGCCCTGCACCTGCAAACCCCAAGTGCACGCCCGCATGCCCCCCTAGGCAGCTCCCTGCCCGCAGAACGGCCGAGGCTTCGGTGCAGCTGGAAAGGGCAGGTGCTCTGAAGCCACATTCCTTTCTCCCAGGACGCACTGCCCCACCTCCCCGCCACCCCCCCCCCCCCCCCCCCCCCCCCCCCCCCCCCCCCCACCTGCCACTGTCACTCCTGGAAAAGCATATGCCCCGGTCTCCTGCTGCAACACCAGCTGTAACTCTAATGACAAGGTTATAACAGAAACCTAAGGAGGGTAACATGTAAATACTGTGTTATTTAGCCTACAGTACAGTAATCTGGATACAAATGAGAAGGGAGAGCCGAATTTCCTTTCCCCACGCTGCCTCTACTTGCCTACGTTAGACCGGCCTTCGATGCAAATCTTAACCTCCTGAGGGATTAGAGAAGGTTTGGGAAGAGTCAAAGGTGGCTCGTCTTCCGACTTCTCCAGCTTGCGGGTCTCGGGTGCCGACCACCTCCTCTTCCTCGTGGCCGCCGGCTTGCTGGGTTCTATTTTGGTGAGCAAGGGCGCTGCAGGCAATGCAACTTTGTCTGGAAACTTGAGTTCGCCGTTCTCGGACAGCATCGGGGCACTTCCCTGGTTGATGCCATTCTCCTGCTCGGCGTACCTGTGTCTGCTGGCCGCGAGGCCGTCGGTCTTTGAACGCTTCAGCAGGACGCTGGCCGGATCCACGGGCGGGCCCTTTTTAACAGAGCCGTTCTTCAGGTTCTTGAGGGTCAGCGAGATGCAGACATCCCCAACCGAGAGTTTGGAACACGGCAGATCAAAGAGCTGGCTGGTTCTCTCTGGACAGCAGGATGACCAGCCCTGTCCAAACACAAAAAAAGGGTACTCTACCAACACCTCCACGCTGACCTGCGGAGACAGTGGGAGACAGAGAGGGCAAAGGGGAAGGAAACAGATGAAGACGTTTTAGTATTTATTTCATACACACCCACGTGTACATAAGCCAAAGGGGGAGGGGATAAGACGGTCCACAAAGGTCATCCGCCAACGCGCACAAATGAGGCTCATCTGCTGTACCTGTACTCACCATAGATAGGTGGTGGGTAGAAGGCAGTAAGAGAAAAAAAGGCCATTTAGTGTTCGCAGTATCATTTTACTGAGTATCAGCTCTATAGCTGGCCTCCTTGAAAACAAATGGGTTGCAATGATGAACAGGGGCTCGGTGTTCAGCGCCGGCCGAGCGAGGCTCTGCGGGGAAACTGGAGCACAAGATAGAGTCTTGCGCTTTATCGGCTCACTGGACAAAAGCGATTCTCACGTAGGACAGAGCTAATCAGGAATCAGAATGAGACTGGATGCAACCTCCACCAGGCACCACTCACCCATTTATATCCACATATTCCCTAAAAGGGGCCTGGTATACAGCTGAAGCTTAATAAATATTTATCGGGTAAATGAGTGTGTACTCAGGAACCCAGGAGAGCAGAGCCGGTGAAGGCTGCAGTAAACAGGGACGGCTTCCCCGTTTTCCTGGGACCCTGAGAGCTGGGCAGCATTTGGAGAGGCGTGGACGGTGTTGGGGAGAGGGTAAACTGGACACAGAGAGCTCAAGTACTTGGCCCGCCCAAGGTCAAGCTCCGGGTACTCAAATCAGTCTGTGCATTGGTTTGAAAACCAGTATCAAAAGCCGGGAGAGCTCACTATCCTCTCCATAGCTGCTGTTTTCTCTGCCACCATGTGCCATGCATGCACGGCGCTCAGCAAATAAACTGAAAAGTCCTGGTCCCAGAGGGGAGCACAGGCAAGCAGGCAGAAGGAGTACATGAACATAAGAGCCAATCAATGTGGCGAGTGGGGCTGTGACACTTTACTACAACATGAAGTTGTTGGAGGGCAGAGGAAAGGCATAGACTGGTTTGAAGAAGAGGTGATTAAGGAAGTCTTCCTGGATGAGGATACACTGTGCTGAGTTATAACAAAGAATCAGGGCGGAGTCCAGGTGTGGATGCAAGAAGGCATTCCTAGAAGTAGAGAGCGTGAACAAAGGCAAGGAGATAGGCTAGTGTGCGTAGGGATGTGCAAACTGTCCAGTGAGTCTTATTGTTACCATTAAATTACGCCAAAATGCACTTGAGGTTCTAAAAGTTTAATTCTCCAAGAAATTTATTTTCTTCAACTTTACGCTACATAAAAAAAAAAAAAAAACCCAAGGAAGTCATTTTAAAGAGGCAATTTTCAATGGCTTTTCTAGAAGTAGTGGAATAAGCCATTCGGACCAGTCTTCTTGCTGAGGACAACCAAATACTCTGAGCAAAAACCAAATAGACAAAAACTAAGGGTGGAATGTAAAAAATTATTTCTTACGGCACCAGACAGAAAATAAGGTAGTGAAAACTCACCGGGGACGGTTCAGGAAAAGGGTGACGGTCTAGAGATTTAAGCCTAGTATTTCGGGCTATTTTCGCCTGAGGGCATTTGCAGATTCCAAACTGGAACAGTTTTAAAACCAAGTGGACTTCTGGTAATCTCAAGAGCATGGTGGGGGGTGGGGGCGGAAGGGAAAGAAATTCAGGGTACCCTTCTGGTATATCGGGGGAAGGTGCTCTCTGGCGAGCTCCACTTTTTTGGACTGTGACCCCAAAGTGCTCTACTCTAGAAGTAAGGAGCCAGAAGCAGACAGGCCTTCTCAAGTTCTGAAGGTCAGATTCTAATCATCTTAGTCCCGAAAATCGGGGTAAAGTCGTGGATTATTTCCGAATAAAATAATTATTTGACATTATTTTCAAATAAAAGACATTCAATAAAAAAGAGGGATGAGGTCCACAAATAGACCAGAGGACATGATTAAAAACCCAGTAGAAACAACAGATAATAGAAGCAGGCCCTCAGGGGCTTCTGATATATCAGATACACAGACATTAAAATGACCTAGACTCAGGTCATGATCTCGCCATTTGTGAGTTTGAGCCCCACACTGGGCTCTGTAGTAATAGTGCAGGGACTGCTTAGGATTCTGTCTCCTTCTCTCTCCACTTACTCCCCTCAAATATAAATAAATAAGCATTTTTTAAAAAGACTTATTAAAGGGGGGAGGGTCCTGGGTGGCTCAGTCAGTGTCATGATCTCATAGGTTCGTGAGAATGAGCCCTGCATCAGGTTCTGCACTGACAGCATGAAGCCTGCTTGGGATTCTCTCTCTCTGCTCCTCTCCTGCTCACAGGCACTCTTCTCTCTCTCACTCAAAAAATAAACTTTAAAAAATATTTTTAAAAATAAAAACAATAGTGGCGCCTGGGTGGCTCAGTCGGTTAAGTGTCTGACTGTCTCAGGTCATGATCTCATGGTTTATGAGTTCGAGCCCTGCATCAGGCTCTGTGTAGATAGCTTGGAGCCTGGAACCTGCTTCGGATTCTGTGTCTCCCCTCCTCTCTGCCCTTCCCACGCTCATGCTTTGTCCCTTTCTGTCTCTCAATAATAAATAAATGTTACAAAAAATTAAGAAAAATAAATGAAAAAATAAAATGGCCTAAGTTTACAATATTTAAGGAGATTAAAGACAAGCTTGAGGATTTTGGTAGAGAACTAGAATCTATGTTCCAAAGACCCATGGAAATTCTAGAAATGAAGAAACGTATATTCACTAAAATTAAAAAAATGCAATGGATTTTCCAACAGAATAAATGTGGTTGATGACAGAACTAACGAACTGGATTCCTTAATTCAGGCTTCGGAAGAAACTGTACAGGACGAAACACAGACAAAAGGTTCGCTAACGCAGAAGACGTGTGAGAGACATAGAAGGCACACTGAGAAGATATAACAGACACATACATTGAATCCTCCCAGGAGGAGAGGGAGATCACAGGGCAGAAGTAACATTTGTGAGGGGATACTAGCTAAAAATTTTCCAAAACTTGGTATGAGACAATAATCCACATAACCCCTAAACAGGAAAAATAAAAAGATTTCCACCTAGGCAGGGCGGAATTTAACTGCTGTAAACCAAAGACAGGAAAATAAATCCTAAAAGCCTCTAGAACAAAATATATATTACCTCCAAATGGGCAACAATTACATTCACACTTGACTTCTCATTGAAAATAATGAGACTATCTTGTTCTATTTTATTTTTAAAAGCATTATTTTAATGTTTATTTATTTTTGAGAGAGGGAGAGAAAGAGAGAGAGAGAGAAGAGGGGAGGGGCAGAGAGAGAGGGAGACACAGAATCTGAAACAGGCTCCAGGCTCTGAGCTGTCAGCACAAAGTCAACACGGGGCTGAAACTCACAGACTGTGAGATCATGACCTGAGCTGACGCTGGACACTCAATTGACGTGGGGCTCGAAGTTACCAATCGTGAGATTGTGATCTGAGCTGAAGTCTGATGCTCAACCGACTGAGCCACCCAGGCGCCCCAAGGGACTATTTTAGGTATCACATTCCTTCTTATCTGTGTCAAAACTCACATTCAGGGGCACCTGGGTGGCTTAGTTGGTTAAGCGTCCGACGTTCGCTTAGGTCATGATCTCGCGGTTGTGGGTTCGAGCCCCGCGTCGGGCTCTGTGCTGACTGCCAGCTCAGAGCCTGGAGCCTGTTTCAGTCTGTGACTCCCTCTCTCTCTGACCCTCCCCTGCTCACGCTGTCTCTCTCTCTCTCCTAGAAAGAAATAAAAATATTAAAAAAACAAAACAAACTCACATTCAACCATGATTCTGAGTTGCAAAAGAGAATTTGTTTTTCCTACTGTCTAAGTCTTTGTCACGAGCTAAGCAAGCCCAACAGCAAGGCAAAGATCACAAGTGAGGACCTTTGGATGTGTGTCCGTGGTCAAGCGGAGATCAGAGAAGCCCAACTGAAAGAACTTGGCAGTGACAGTGACACTTCGGGACTCAACAGACGTTCTTTCTAACATGGCTATTTTGAAGACTGTGATTCTGACGATGGAAGAAGGAAGAGGACTGGCAGTGGGAGGAATCAGATGTAAAATTCCTTCAATGAAAATGTACGGACTTAAAAAAATGGAACCATTTTGTTCAGAAGACAATGGAATATCCTTAGAGCATTAAAGAAAAAGAATTGGCAACCAAGCGCTCTATATTGAGCAAAAGGATCCCTCAGGAATGAAGGCAAAATAAAGACATTTTTCAGGTGAATAGTAATTAAGAGAATTCACCACCGGAGATCTGCACTACAGAAAATATTACAGAGTATTCTTTAGGTGGAGGAAAAAATCAGTCTAGGTGGAAATTTGTTCATGCAGGGAGGAATGAAGAACAAGGAAAATGACAGATGGGGGTAAATCAAAATAATATTGACTACATATAATAATATTAAAGACGTTCTGTTGAATTTTATATACAGGCACACATACACAAACACATAAGTAATTAAAATAGCACTCAAACCTAAGGATGCCCGGGTGGCTCAGCTGGTTAAGCATCTGACTCTTGATTTTGGCTCAGGTCATGAGCTCATGGTTTGTGAGTTCGAGCCCCGTGTCAGGTTCTGTGCTGACAGTGCAGAGCCTGCTTGGGATTCTCTCTTTCTCGCTCTCAAAGTAAATAAACTTAAAAAAATAATCAAATACCCCCAAACCCCAAAAGTAGTAAATTTCCATGTAATTTATACGGATTGTGGCCTTCTATTTTATCTGCTTCATCTTTTTTGATAACTATGATTTTTTAAATTTTTTTAGTTTATTTCTGAGAGAGAGAGAGAGAGACAGCATGAACAGAGGAGGGCCAGAGAGAGAGGGAGATACAGAATCCGAAGCAGGCTCCAGGCTGTGAGCTAGCTGTCAGCACAGAGCCCGACGCGGGGCTCGAACCCACGAACCGTGAGATCATGACCTGAGCTGAAGTTGGATGCTTAACCAACTGAGCCACCCAGGCGCCCCTTGATAACTATG